GCAGGCGGGGGCCGGGGGCAGGCAGGGAGAGCGGCGTGAGGAGCGCAGGCCTACTTTTTGCTTCTGTGTCTCCAGAGAAGACATGGCTTATGTGCTCCAACCCGAGGGAAACCGACCTTCTTTTACATTACTGTTTTTTGTTTTAATTTTCTGAGGACATTGATAAAAATTACTTCTGATTTTGAGATTAAAAATTGAACAATTTTCTATTTTACGCTCTTTTAAACTTTTCACAATTCATTTTAACACTTTTATTCTCTTGTAAATTTTAATTATTGTAATTTATATCCTCAATTATTATGTAAAATTTTTATAAAAGTCTTTTTTACATAATAAAGATTAATATATGAACTTTTATTCCTTTATCTCAAATGTAGACTTTAATTAAACTCTAATATTTGAGAACACTTTATGTTTTGAGACTTTTGTTACTTATTTGACATTATAACTATTATTCTTCACTCTTCCAGTGAATTTTTAATGTCATTCAAAAGGTACATCTTTCTATACTGAGAATTAAACATAGCTCTCAAGAGTATTCTATTTAGAAGCTCATTCACAGTATTCCACCTCCCACTGGCATGTTAAGTATGTTCTCCTTTCCTTCCAAAGCATATTTTCCCCCCAAAGGCCCCATGTTATACTCCTCATTCACCCTCCATTCAAGATATGATTTTATTTATTTATTAATTGAAACAGAGTCTCACTCAGCCTGTCACCCAGGCTAGAGTGCAGTGGCATGATCTTGCCTCACTGCAATCTTTGCCTCCAGGGAAAAGTGATTCTCCTGCTTCAGCCTCTTTAGTAGCTGAGATTGCAGGCATTTGCCACCACACCTCACTAATTTTTGTATTTTAAGTAGAAACGAACTTTTACCATGTTGGCAAGGCTAGTCGTGAACTCCTAACCTCAAATGATTTGCCTGCCTAGGCCTCCCAAAATGCTGGGATTTCAAAAACAACAACTAAATCCCAGAATGATGACTGGGAACTTGCCTCTTCAGTAAAACGGCACAGAAAAGCCATGAACAGATGCTCAGCTGCTTTCCGCAATGATTATCCTCCTTATAACAAAGCAGAAAGCCTTTCTCAGAATTATCTGGGCTGTCATCACTCATTGCCCAGGCCTGTTAACAGACTCCTGAAACCCAGTGCTGTGAGGTTCAAATGTGCCCCTCCAAAAATGCAGCAGAAGGCCTGAGATTCAACATAATAGTATCCTTGAGTCCCTGGAGATGTTTAAGGCTCAAGAATGTATAGATTCTATGAACTTTATGTTTTCTAAAATCTCAGATTATGACGATATCCACCATTGAGACAGACAACTAGTCTAAAAAATTATAATATCAAAGGCCGGAATGAAAAAAAAATGTTTTTCTTAGAGCCTCCTTGTAACTGTCTGATTTTTTTGTAGATATAAGAACTAGAGGTCAAGCTCTGCCTGATGTAACTGACCTAGACATATGTAGATTTATTAATTGTAGAAGAAAGAATGATACCTTTCAGGAAAAATGGCTACATAAATTATTGAGTTGCTGTTTTTGAGACAAGTTCTCACTCTGTCAACCAGGCTAGAGTGCAATGGCACAATCACAGCTCACTGCAGTCTCAAACTTCTGGACTCAAGCAATCCTCCCAACTCAGCCTCCTGAGAGCTGGGACAACAGGTGCACACCGCCACACAAGGCTAATTTTCTTTTTCCTTTTGGTAGAGATAAGGCCTTTGTATGTTGTCCATGCTGATCTCAAACTCCTGGCCTCAAGTGATTTTTCTGCCTTGGCCTCCCAAAGCACTGGGATTATAAGTATGGCCACCGTACCCAGTTTTAGATCATATTTTTTCATACACATAGCTTTCCAACTAAAAATATTTTAATAGAATCCTCTTAATTCAGCAAAGCAATGTTATTATTGACCCAGTCTTCACTTAATTTCAGCTTACATACATGAGCAAAATCACCTTTATTTTTTAAATTATGTTTTGTTTTATATTTTCAGGTGCATATGTTGTTTGAGAAACATATCCATAATGAAATGATTACTACAATCAGGCAGATTAACAAATCCATCACATCACTTAGCCATGCTTCTTTTTTATGATAAGAACAGCAAAAATCTAGTCCCTCAGATTATTTTCCAAATACAATACAATATTATAAAAAATACCTACAGGCTGCACATCAGACTCATTTATCCTACAAGACTGCGCCTTTACAACTACAACTACTGCCCTTCATCTGCCTATGTTCTTCCAACCGCTCTAACTAACGTAATCACCTTTCTACTCTCTGGTTTTATGTATTCAACTTTTAAAACTAGATTTCAAATATGAGTGAGACCATAAAGTATTTTTCTTCCTGTGTCTTATTTCACTTAGGAAAACTACCATTTCCATATCTCCTAAATTTAGTACAGAAATATAGTGCTAGCCAAGAATGTGTCTCAGTTTTGTTAAATTATTTTTTCCAGGTTATTCTCTTTATCAATTTTTTCTTTCTGTACTAGAGAAGAATCAAAATTCTTGAATTAAAAAAAATCTGTAACCAGGCAATCAATAAATAACTTCTTTAAGGGATATAAAACAGGAAGTTCAAGATTTCTGGATTAATGATTGACGATATTCTTAGCTGTGTCTCTGATTTATTTCGGTTGTAAGTAAGTCTTGGTGATAGTCTAACATAAATTCTGAAAGGTGAAGAGAATAAATGAATTATGTATCTCTAGGAGCATCAATAGAATAAAATTCTCTTGGTTAAATGGCTAAGCAAATATGCTAAATAGATACAGCAGCTTTTTTATCTTCCCAAATCAGAGTCAAACACTAAATGATTGCAATGTCGCTAATTCTGTACCTCTGTAAAAGTAAATCTCAGCTAAGTTAGAAGAATGTCAGGAATAAATTTTTTTCTTGAAAACTAGGAACAAATAAGCTAATTAAATTAGGAGGCATTGACTGTTTCATAGAGAAGTTTTAGCATCAACGGAAAGCTCAGAAAATGGGTGAAAATCAGAAAGAAGTGCTGGGTTGAAATTCTAAGGGGAATAATATCATCATCCCAATCACTTGGAAAAAAGCAGCAAGTCCAAAAGAAGCTGGTGATAAGCTTTCTCTCTGCTAGCTCCTAATGTGCTGCATGAAATATGTGGAGGAGGAAGAGAGACGGTTAATATAGAATCTGTGTGGTGTGGAGTGGAAGAAACAGGACCATTTCTGATGAGTATTTTCAACATTTGGAGAATTATTCCTATCTAAATCATCCACTTAAAGGACTAACATCCAAGTAAGATGTTTCCTGCCACCTAACCCTCAGCTAACCAGGCTCTGACAGGAAAGCACTGGACACCTTGACAGTTGTAAAAAGCAGGGTTAACCCACTCTTGAATACTAAGACCTGGTGCTAACCTTAAACAACACCTTATCTGTTTTGTTGAGGTCCTGCTTTGTCTCACTGAACCAATCTCTTGGGTTATTGTCTGTTGTGCCAGTCATTTAATTTTTTTTCTAAACCAAGTGATAAATATAAGTATCTTTGGTGTGTAGTCGGCATTCCCAGATATACCTCACAACTTCATGTGCCACGTGTCTAATTTTGAAACTACAGGATGTGAGCAAAAGTACTGTGGAAAACAGCAGGTCATTTCCTTAAAGTCAAATACTCTTGTCCTTCCTACTTTTCTTTCAGGTTTTCTGTGCATGGGACATGGCATAAATGGCAGCTTCTTCCACACAGAGATAAAATTCAGTTGTTGAAGATGTCAGTCTTCTTCTTCATTAACTCCTACATTGGTCCAAACAAGTGAGAGAAATGCACCCTCTCAATCATTTCAAATTTGAGGTCTTTGTTAGAGCAGACAAGCTAGTGCCCTAGGAGACATAGCTATTACATTCCATTATACAAGGTTCCACTCTATATCTGGATTCTTATTTGAAATGTAAATTAATTTTGCTCTTACTACTGCATAAAGAGGTTCATACCACTTTATGCTTAGTAAGTAATTAAATGTATATGTCAGTTTCAATAATGACAGTCTCTATTATTCTAAGTCCTGTTCCTGTTCCCCATCATTTTATACAGGAAACTTCATCTTTCACTAGTTCATATTTAAGAAACTAAGACAATTGGAATGAACTTTATAGAAAAAATTACCTTGTAATTATTTTAAACCCTAGCATAATAGTATTATCTTTGACTATAAATCTAAAAATCGATCTATTTGTTATCTTTTGATAGCTATTCATTAGCATGTTCTATCCTATTTTGTTACTTACATTTTGGAAAAGTTTCCCAATGTTAGAATAATATTTGTACATATTAACACCCCTACTTATCCATTTATGCATCTTATTTATTGTGTATTCTAAAAATTGCACTGGTAGTATGTTAGCAAAGAAGGCAAATACTGCGTTTGCCTCCTTGAAATTTTCAATCTGGTAGTAATAAGAGTTTTCTGCATATTAAAATCTGATATAATGTACTCAGAGAGGATGAAATAGCACAGCGACCCAGCACTGAAAAACTATGGTATGAGCTGAAATGTGATTAATAATTAGGATGATAAGAAGTAATAAAGTCTTTGAGATACACTTACTTTGGTCATAAAAAGAAAATAAGCCCTCTTCTTTATTCTTTGTAAGACAAGATATCCAGCACTTCATTTTCCTACCCCAGCTTGGTTCAAAGACACAAGTAAGATAAATGGTTTACAGTGTGTACAAACTTTGAAAACACACTCTGAAAAAATATCAGATTAAAAAACCTTCATATAGTATGTTTTTTTTACCTGAATGCACAAACTAAAAAGCAGATTAAGTGTTATGAAGAAATGGGGGAGGGTGAATGGAGAATAAATGTTAATGGTTACTGGGATTCTTCTGGAAGTGATAAAAATGCCCCGGCAGTAGGTAGTTCTGATGGCTGCACAAGGGTGATATACTAACAACCTCTGAAAGAGCTATAATTGATGTTCTAGTAAACATTACGCAATAATTTTTTAAAATACCTAAATTAACAAAGATATACAATCAAGGTGGTTATTTCATTTATAACCATAAAGTAATTACATTCCATGAAGTTACAATGAGCTCACAGGCTCTCACACATAGACCTCTTTCCTCACATAAGGTTTCAGGACACTATTTGCCTCATTTATGGGAGGTCACAATAAATCATCATGAAACCAAATTCTCATGTGGAACCAAAACAAAAGAAAGGCCTCAGAGGGGAAGAGAAGGAGGGAAACCAAAGATAAGAAAACCTTTATAAACATCAAAGAAACTCACAGCTCCATTCTCATAATCCAGAAACACCCAACACGATCCCGAGGCCTTTGCACATAATAAATTAAAGCTGGAGAGTTGGAGAGACTATAGTGATTGCTACTTTTTTTTTTTTCTTTTTTTTTTTTTTTGAGACAGAGTTTCACACTTGTTGCCCAGGCTGGAGTGCAATGGCGCGATCTCGGCTCACCACAACTTCTGCCTCCTGGGTTCAGGCAATTCTCCTGCCTCAGCCTCCTGAGTAGCTGGGATTACAGGCACGCGCCACCATGCCCAGCTAATTTTTTGTAGTTTTAGTAGAGATGGGGTTTCACCGTGTTGACCAGGATGGTCTCTATCTCTTGACCTCATGATCCACCCGCCTCGGCCTCCCAAAGTGCTGGGATTACAGGCGTGAGCCACCAGGCCTGGCTCTGATTGCTACTCTTTGAGGAAATTGAAAAAAAAAAAAATCTTTCATCAGAACCAATAATGATATTGGTATCTGCTGTCCTGGAATCTTTGCAGACTCCCAAAATCCAGTCGGAGGAGTAGGTCACATCCACTTCCCAGTAATGCCTGTGGGAGGAGAATGCTTGAGCTCCCCTCAGTGCAAAGCTCTCCACTCCTGGGGGATCTATGACTGCACTGTGATGGTCATCTCCAAATGTCACTTGTCTCACATCCTCAGAAAGGCTTATAGAGCGAGGAACCATTTCTGTACTCAGAGAATTACCCACTGCCAAGGAAAAAATACTGCCAAGCACTCAGTGAGTGCTAGTAGGGTCAGGGGCTCTGTGGTCCATTTATTCACTTCATTTGATCTTCTTCTAAGAAAATGCAGAATGAAAGAAGCCAAAATAATTCAGCCCCATGCATCCATGAAGATGAAATGTTACTACAACACTAGGACACATACAATTATGTATTATTCTTTAAATAATAGAGAAAAAATGTGACCACATCACTGGGTGGAGTAATGATTTAATATCTATCTCTACACAGTTTGTTTCAGGACATATCTAAAAATATTTAAGATCATCAATAGGTAGACATCACTTCATCGTAATGCATTTATTGGAATGCAAATATCAAATGTTTGATAGAAATTAACACATGTAAAGTTTGGAAGTTTCTGAAAATAATATTCTGGTTTTACATTATCTGTTTAGCCCCTGATTCAATCTACTCTGGGTTCCTGCCCTTTGCTACCTAGACCTGCCCTCCAGAATGGGCCTAACGTGGTTAGGCCATGTTCACAATCCCTCACCTTTCAGTGGTTATGAGATGTATCTGATGGCATCAGAATTGTCCTGATTATGGATATTTTAGTCCTTTTCTATGTTGATCAAAACTTTCTGTTTTTATAAATAATAAGGGTACTTGTAGAATGTATATAAATGTACTTAAAATAGAACCAATTAAAAGCCATTGTGCCAAATCTAAGCCTTCAAAATTGAACTAAAATGAATAAACATGAAATACTGATGCCACCATGAGAACTAATGTCTTCATAACTATATGACTTGAATATTCTTTGCCCTGTTATTCTGCAGATACAATATGTATCTCGTTTTACATTTTCTCCAAACTGTAAGTCAGGAAACTGAGTTTTGATCATTGATATTACTATGCAGGTAGGGACGAGGCAGATGTTTTAGAAAACTCTGTATTACCTACATGTCAGAAATAATAAAATTTAAATGGAAAATGCCTCAACCAAAGGACCCAATAAGGATGAAGATGAGGCTGGACTGCCAAGCAGCAGGATCTTACCTCTGAATTTGTTGAGCACGTCTTGGACTCCAGTTATGCCCCATGAAGTGAGCTCTGGGTTTACCAGCTGGGGCTTTTGCATCTGTGCCAAATCAGTCCTGCAAAAAAATGGCCTCAGTTATACTGAGGCACAGAGCTAATCACATGGTCGTACAAAGATACCATATTTTCATACAAGATGTTTCCTCAGAATTCTGCCAGTTTTGGTTAACTACGTATACATTTTATTCCATTCTCTTGGGGACATGAGGAGGTTACTTTTTCTAAATTTTACTTGCACAAAAACTCACTTTCTCCACACATATTCTTCTCAGATATTACATAATTTCTAAAGGCATTAAAAGTCATTGCCTCCCTCTGCCCATCACACCCCCTGGGAATATACAGAAATCCTGGAAATGTTTCAGAGAGCAGAAAACTCTGACCAAAACATTTGGGACCTCAGCCTGCAGCTGTCACTAATGCTAGTCAGTGTCTCACAGAGGATGTTCCATGAGACAAAGGGCTTAATCTTTTGTGCAAAACAAAGGAGTCTAATTCCAGCCTAAAGCCCTGCTGCTGAGGGTCCTGAGGCGACCATTTTCTCGAAGTCTTTCCTACAACTGTGTGTCTTGTGATGGAGCAGGTCCGGGATGCTTTTGGGAACAAACCTCCCTTCTCAGCCCATCCTTAGGGATTCTCCCTCCTACCTCTGTCTTTTCTACCTCCCACCCCTCTAGAGTAGAAGAAACTGCTATGATTTCTCAGAATAATTTTTTAGAAATGTCTGTGGGTTAGGGCTGGACAGGATGGATGAATTGGGAAAAACAAACTTCAGAATGGCAAATGGTTTTTAAGTATATTTGAATTCATACAAATTTTAAGATGAAAACTTTCCAGACCACAGAGAAAAAGATCTCAGGGCCTCTTTTGAAACAAAATCAAAAATAGCCACTGAGGATGATGTTAGTAGCTCAAATGTATATATACACTTCATTAACAAGAGAATGACCTGTTCAGAAATAACATTATTTTAGTGCACCTCACCTTGCCAATGCATTTCCGACTTCCTGCAAAGAAATAAAAGATAATGTTAATTATGAAAGTACTTTCCTTCTGCGCATTTTCCCATACTTTTGTTTCTTTTTGGTTCAGTGTTTTAATAATGTATATTTTCTTATTCCCCTCTAAGGAATCATTCCAGGCTACGTTAATAATAGAACCTCAACTTAACCATGAAAGGCTTCATCGGCAGACCTGAAGAGCAAAGGAGCTCAGCAAGAGATTGTGGAGAGAAGCAAGGATACCTGGTTTCCAGGGTCATTAGTTTCCTAATCTTATTCCCAAGGAAAGGTCTGACCACACATGACAACTGTTAAAACAAAACAGAGAACCATATGAGAAACAGAGTACACTGACACTGATGAACAACTTTTACAAACCTTGCCCAGGCAAGGGGAAAAGCCTCAATGTCTTCAGTAAATCACTGTTGTATGGAACCTCAGAGAATGGGGAGGAACTAGGGCACATAAGTGGAATATTAGTAACCTTCCCCTGGCCTGGGGTTCTGCTGACTTTGGATAGTCCCTCTGTGTGGATAGTACTCCTAATTTTATTGAAGAGAATGTTTTCCTGCTATGTACTACAATGGCAAAAACTTCCCAAAGATTACCAAAGCATGCAGTAATAAATGACTGGACAAATGTAATGATGGGTATCAGACAGCAGGTGTCACTTAGCTGACAGTCGTGACATATGCAGGTGACATACCATGTGCTGGCAGCATTGTCCAGCAAAGGCTTCCTTGTCTCTGAGATGGACCCTCCCCCCTCACCTGGGGCAGCTCCACGCCAGGCATGTGGCTCAGCTCCCACAGCTCTCTGTACATGTCTTTCATCCTTTCTGAATTCTGGGTCATTCTCACTTGACTGTTTGGGAGTGGTTGGAAAAGCTCTTCTTCTCTGTCCAGTCCCTGTAGATAAAGTTGCTCCTCCTCTTCAAGAAATTGACGCATCTTTTGAAATTGAATATTGATTATCACCTTCCTTAAATCCACATAGACCTGCAGAGGATTTGGTTAAAAGGATTACATGTTGTCACTCTCAACAGAAAACTGCAAATAATTATATTCTGGGTGTAATCAAGCAATTCGATAAATTTTCTGCCTACTCTTGCAGAGTCTTGAATATTTGCTATTTCTTCTGTCACTAAAAAAAAAAAAGTTCCTATTCTCTTTCCCTGCTTAAATCAAAACCTATATAAAGACTCCTCAATTCTCTTCCTGTGATGTTTCTTCACTGTTCTTACCAAGTCAGTTATTTCCCCTATTAATCTTCTGCCTTTTAGGTTTTTTCCATGCTGATTCACCTAAAGTTAAAAAAACATTTAAGCCATACGCCATATCATGCATATGGGTTTTTTTTTTTACTACATTTTTCCTCTACATACTATTCTATTTCTTTCCTCTTCCTCACACCCAACCTTAGTAAAATGTTGTCTCATTTCCAGTGTCTGAAAATGTTTATACCAACCTTCAAATTTGAACTAGGGGACATAATATGCCATCTATCCAATATATTAAAATTACTTGGCTAGCTTGTGTGGGCCTCTCTATTTGTGAATCCCATTATGTCAATTGAAATCATTACATTTTTATGGGATGAAATCACTATCTTTTAAGTGGTAGTTTGAATTTAG